GTGACGACATTACCTGGTGGCCCATTTCTCAGAACGTATGCCCGTGATGAAGTGACACATGACTGCACCTTCACCTGGACTTCCCTCACGCTCCTGAACCTCAGCATGCCAAAATGAAATACATTTCCCCCATTCCTGTCCCCTGCCCGTCAACTCTGTGGGTCCCGCCCTAATAGTGACACCACCATGCTCCTTGTCACTCAAGACAGAAAAGAGGGCCTCCTTCTCCTGCTCCCCTGTGGTCACTGAGCCTCACCTACACCTAAGCACCCCTTACGAAGAACCCTTGCCGTCCCCCACTGCCTAGTTCAAGCTCTTGACACGTCTCACCTGAGCTACTGCCATGCATGGCCTGCCAACCCAGTGGGCCCCGGGGCCTAGCGGAGGAAAGCAGTCATCTGAAAGAATGCCAAGGGCTGTCATGGATCACAAACCCTTCCTCGAGTTGCCTCCACCTGGTTAGGCTCAGCTCCATCCCTCCCCATAGCTACACTGCTCCTTCCAAGATCTGACACAGAACACAGTGCTTACGTGGATGAATCCTGGGGCCAGCTGCGCCCCCTGTGATGAGCCCTGTGACTCATCTCTAAAACAGAGATAATAACGGTACCTCCCTTACATGGTTTTCCCGAGGGTTAAATAACTGAACATTTTTGTAGGGCGTCTCGGATGGTGACCAGCAATGGTGACAAACCTAAACGTGTTATGGATTGTTATGATTTTTCTTCACGTGACATTTTAGTCTGTCATTTATCATCCTTTCACAGTAGTTGACAAAGCAAAATCTCTTTTGAAGCTGTAAGATAATATAGTCTCATCTTTCTGCCAGCCCTTTTGAAACAATAATTGTATTTGGTAATAGAAAATAAAGCACTGTCATGAGGTAATGGTCCATATTAGATAATTATTCTCATATGTTTAATTTTTCCAAATGATTTATTTGTTTTTAATAATCAACTGAAATCTAAAACATCTTTTTTTTTTTTTTTTGAGTTATGTTCACTGAAATACAATTTGCTTGGCCAGCGCTGCAGCTCACTAGGCTAATCCTCCGCCTGCATCGCCAGCACCCCGGGTTCTAGTCCCTGTCAGGGCGCTGGGTTCTGCCCAGTTGCTCCTCTTCCAGTCCAGCTCTCTGCTGTGGCCCGAGAAGGCAGTGGAGGATGGCCCAAGTGCTTGGGCCCTGCACCCGCATGGTAGACCAGGAGGAAGCACCTGGTTTCTGGCTTCGGATCGGTGCAGCACACTGGCTGTAGCGGTCATTTGTGGGGTGAACCAATGGAAGGAAGACCTTTCTCTTTGCCTCTCTCACTGCCTAACTCTGCCTGGCCAAAAAAAAAAAAAAATACAATTTGCTTGCAAACTAAATTCACATTTTTTAGAGTGTACATATTGGGGCCGGAGCTGTGGAGCAGTGGGTTAAGCCATCGTCTGCAATACTGGTATTCCCATATGGGTACCCGTTCGACTCCTGGCTGCTCCACTTCCAGTCCAGCTCCCTGCTAATGTACCTGGGAAAGCAGCAGAAGCTGGTCCAAGTGCTTAGGCCCCTGTACCCACATGGGAGACCTGGATGAAGCTCCTGGCTTTTGGCTTCAGCCTGGCCCAGTCCTAGCTGTTGTAGCCATTTGGGGATTGAACCAGCAGACGGAAGATCTTTCTCTCTCTGTTTCTGTCTGTCCATCTCTCTCTCTCTGTAATTCTGTCCTTCAAACAAACAAATAAATAAATCTTAAAAAATAAACTCTCAGGCTATTAATGTAATAGCCTCTCAATACATATTCATATTATAGAGTGATCTTTCTAAAACAAATAAAAGAGTGTACAATTTGTTGAGTTTTACCACAGCCACTGAATGATTACTGTAATCAAGATATGGGGATGGGGAGGGGGGCTGGCATTGTGGTGCAGCAGGTTAAGCCACCTCTCCCAATGTTAGCATCCCATAGTGGTCTGAGTGTTGGCTTTTCTGCATCTGGTCCAGTTTCCTGATAATGCACCTGGGAAGGCAGCAGATGATGGCCCAATATTAGGCCCCTGCCACTCATGTGGGAGACCTAAATGAAGGTCAGGGCACTTGGCTTTGGCCTGGCCTATCCCTGGCTGTTGCAGGCATCTAGCAAGTGAATCAGCAGATGGAAGATTATCTTTGCGTGTATACCTTTCAAATAAATAAATAAATCTTTAAAACAAATATATGGGGGAACATATTATATGGGGAAACATATAACATTGAATCTATCAGTTAATTTGCCCATGCCCCATGTCAGAGTGCCTGAGTTCGATTCCAGTCCCCAACTCCTGGCTCCAGCTTCCTGCTAATGAGGTCCCGGGAGGCAGCGGCAATGGCTCAGGTAGCTGGGTTCCTGCCACTCTTGTGGGAAAACCAGACTGCATTCAGGCTTGTCTAGCCCTTGCCAATGCAGACATTTGGAGAAGTGGATCAGCAGATGGGAATTCTTAATTTTTAAATAAAAATGTAAAAAAAAAAGGGCATTTGTACTAAACATGTGCAGACTTTTTCCCCTTGTCATTATTCCCTAAACAATTGTAGGATAATGACAGTTTGCAAAGCTTTCACATTGTATGAGGTATTAGGTACATAGAAAGATGTGGCCGGTGCCGCAGCTCAATAGGCTAATCCTCCACCTAGCGGCGCCGGCACACCGGGTTCTAGTCCCGGTCGGGGCGCCGGATTCTGTCCCAGTTGCCCCTCTTCCAGGCCAGCTGTAGCCCGGGAAGGCAGTGGAGGATGGCCCAAGTGCTTGGGCCCTGCACCCCATGGGAGACCAGGAGAAGCACCTGGCTCCTGGCTTTGGATCAGCGCGGTGCGCGGCCGCGCCGGCCATGGCGGCCATTGGAGGGTGAACCAATGGAAGGAAGACCTTTCTCTCTGTCTCTCTCACTGTCCACTCTGCCTGTCAAAAAAAAAAAAAAAAAAAAAAAAAAGATGTGAGTAGGTTATGTGTAAATACAAGGCCATTTCATAGAAGGGATCTGAGCAAATGTGGACTTTGGCATCCACAGGAGGGAGGGGCTAGGCCCCAGCCCTCCATGGATACTGAAGGGCAAATGTATTGGTATCAAATCCTCCTGCCAGGATCTGGTCCTTGGTACACTGAAACACGGACGGGCCCTGAGCAGACAGCTCCTTTCTGGATCTATGAATCACCCTATGCTGCCTACCCAGCTCGGTGGTGTATCTCAGGTACTCAACAAACACCAGGAACAAAGGAATGAATGTCAGAGCAGGGAGGGACTGTCCTGGAGGTGTACACCATGTCCAGAGAAGTTAAATGGCTCGTCCAAGGGGAAGGAGGACTAGCTGGTCGCAAGCGTCAGCCAGAAGCTAAGGTTCTTGACTTTTACGTCAAGCTGGGAGTCACTGCTGAAAAATGACTGGTGCCGAACGCTAATCCAGGTTAATTCCTGCTGATCAATCATTAAAGTGCTAAGGAACTGCTGAGATTAAAACTCCTAATGAATGGCTTAATTTCAACCCAAGTCCTCTTTATTCCCTCATGAAGTCTTGTATTTCCCGATTTTCCTAACAATCAGTACAGTCCCAATGACAAATGGGGGGAGGGGTGACAATGTCCAAGAAATAGATGTTAAGAATGGGATTCAGCAGCCACAGGGACCGGCTCAGGCAGCCCGCAGCCCTTTTTGGCCTCTTGGAAACCTAAATTCATAGAACCTGGCTTTGGCTCACGTTTAAAGGGTTCGTTTTAAGAGACATTATATGGTGAAAAACCAAGCCCCATACACTCATGCACGTGCGCGCGCACACACACACACACACACACACACACACACACACAATTTGAAAGGAAGACATCTTCCACGCACAGGTTCACTCCCCAAATGCTGGCAACAGCCAGGGAGCCCAGAACTCAATCCAGGTCTCCCACGTGGACAGCAGGGACCCAGAGCCTGGGGCCATGATCACCTGCTGCATCTCAGTGTGCACAGGAGCTGGATTTCGCCCAGGCGGCCATCCAGGGACTCCGAAGTGGGCTGTGGGTATCCCAGGTTCCGTCTCAACTTTCAGGCTTAGGCGCATTGGTTAGTAAGAGCAGAAAGGCCTGTCATGAGGAAGCAGCGAGGAAGCGCAGGGTTCCGGGGTACGGCCGAGCCCCCTTAGGCCACAGCCCGTCACTTCCCCGGTCACACGGGGCAGGGAGGGCGTCGTGAGGCGGACAGCGGCCCCAGACCCACTGTGCCTCAGCCAGACCCTCCCTGACACTGCAATGCCGTCCACCTCCATTCCTCCGGCACCCTCTGGCCCTTCTACCCCGCGTCCTCCATTTGCTCAAGGAAAGTCCTTCCGGTGCCAACAGCAATCTCTCCGAAGGTAACGACTTACCCTCTTGGGCAGAACCCGTCCTCCTTAGCCGGGGGACCCTAGAGGGCGCAGGCTGCTTCAGGGGCAATCAGCTGGCTCGCCAGAAAAACATTTTCACTGGCCGCTCGCGGATCTCGCCGCCTCAGCCCCGCGGCGTCCCGGGCTGCCGGGATTCGAACATTCCGTAGCCCGCCCAGTCAGAGCCGGCCCGCTCGTCAGCGACCTCAGGAGGGCCGCGGGGCCTGGAGTGGGCAGGCCCGGCCGCTGACCTCCTCAATGTGGGCGGAGCGTGCCGGCCCCGCCCCGCCCCCGCGCACAGCCGAGCGCTGCGCCGCGCGGCCCCGCCCCTCACCGGCCCCGCCCCCTCGTGGCTCCCCGCAGCTCCTCCCCTCTTCCATTGGCCGAGGCGGAGACCCTCCCCTTTGCCCAATGGCCGCCGCCGCGGCTCGGCCGCCCGCGTCCTGACTGGCCGGAGACCGGCAGAGTGGCGGGGAGCGGGCCAATGGGGAGCGGCGGCTCGATGAATGGCTGGCCCGGGTGGGGAAGGCAGGAGGCGGCGATCCCGGCGGAGGGGGCCGTTCGCCAGCTCCGAGGCAGAAAGTGCCACGACTCCACACGCGCGCACGCAACCAGCGAGCGGCCGGAGCGGACGGCGGACGGGGCGGACGGCGTCGGGGTCGCGGCGCCTGCAGCTGTTCGAGGGCGGCTTCCCGGCGGAGGCTCAGTCGGCTCCTCTCTCCCGAGTCTGTGGCGGCGGCGGCTCCTGCGCTCTCCTCCCTCCCGCGTCTCCGGCTGCAGGTAAGAAACTTGGCCGGGCCCTGCAGCGGCGGCTGCCGCGGCGGCGCGCGGGCCGGGCCGGGCCGTCGGGGCGCCGGGGCCGGCCGCGCAGCGCCGCGAGTGACACGTCTCCTTGGCGGCCCCTCCCCCGGCGGCGCCGGCCGGCCCGCCTGCCCGCCCGCCGTGGCCGCGGCCGCGGCCGCCGACCCTCAGGGTCGGACTCAGTGGGGAGGGCGTGTGGCGGGGCCGAAGCTCGTGCAGGGGCGGCGGCCGAGCGCGCCGGGCCGGGCGGACTCCCCCCTCAGCCCTGGCCGTCGGGGGCCCCGGCCGCGGCGGTGCGACGTGGCGACCCCTCCCTCTCAGCCGGACCGTCGGGCCAGCCCGCGCGCTCCCAAGTTGGACGAAGAAAGTTGGCGGCGGGGCGGGGCGGCGCACAGCTGGCGGAGGAAGGGGTTAAGTTTCGGGAAGCGGCGGGATGACGTTGCCGGGCTGGAGTCCGGGCCGGAGGGGTGGGGGGGGGGCGGGCGGAAGGCGGCGGAGGCCGGCCGAGGGGTAGGGGGTGGGGGGTGAGGAGGGCGGGATTGAATGAGGGGCCCGCGGGCCGAGCTCGCCCGCTTGCGGCCCGCAGCCGGGGGGTCGCTCCGGGGGCTCGGGCAGGCCCCCGACGGGGCGGACCGGAGCCACGGCGCTCGCCTTGCGGGCCCCCGGGGGCTGTCCGGGGCGCGGACGCCCAGGACAACTTCCCGGAGTGCTGGAGGCGGCTCCCTGCTCCCCCTGGCGGCGGGGCCGAGAGCACCGTTCCCCCCTCCAGCGGGGCCGCGCGGAGCTTGGCGCGAGGGCGCCCGGCAGGGGCTGGGGGGGTGGGGGGACGGGGGCAACCCAGGCCCTGCCCGATGAATGGGCCGGCGGTGCCAGGCCCGGGCGGATGCGGGCACCTCCGGCCCGGCCGGCCAAGCGCTCTGGCAGCCGGCCTGACGTCCGCGCCGACGCGCCGGGCTCTCCAGCCGAGCCCTGGGCAGGGGAGGGGGGCTGCGGCCGCTGCTTGCCGTGGGGGCGCTAGGGATGCTTTAGGGCGCCCTTCGCGGATTATCTGCGGGACGTTGCAGCTCCGTGTGGTGCCCTGGGTCTCCACTTCCCCGTTACTGCAAGACACAACTCCTGAAAACTCTTGTGCTGGAGGGAGCAGCTTGGAGAGCCGGCGCAGCAATAAGTGAGGGCCACAGGAGTCCCTGCGCTGGCCAGGTCACACCCTAACCCCTTCGAGCCTTATCTGTAGCCTGGAGATAGGACCACCCGCCCAGAACAGGGTCAGGGGAGCTGCCTGCGGGGAAGTGCCCAGGCCTTGTGCAAACACGAGACAGTTTGGCAATAACTCCAGAGGTCAGAGGTCAGCGGAGACTGGGAGGCACCGAGGAAATGAAACTTTGGAGGCTCTTGGGAGCTTCCCACGTCATTGTTGGTTCAGCATGTGCTGGAACCTTCCGGGTGGGGGGCGGCTGGCTGGCCTGCAGTGGGGCCTAGTGAGGTCTCCCATCCCGGGTCAGAACTGGGCCAGCACTCCTGGGAAGACACTGTGGGGCCGGGAGCATTCCCCCACCATCCCTGCCTCCCCTCCATAGGCGTTTCCAAGAGTCCTTGTGGCTCTTCTTCTCCCGGGGAACCTGACACCCAGAAGCCCCGGTGGTCCCGCTGGGTGCTGCTGTGACCGGGGCTGGCTGACTCGCCGCTGACCTTTCCCGAGGTCAGCCCCGCTGTCCCTTGCAGAAGCTCCTGAAGGTGCTACTTCCCCTGCTCCTGATGCACGGAAGGGAAGCTGGGGGCTGCCGGGTCAGGTTTCCGTGTCCGAGCCACGCAAGGCACCTCTGCCAGTTGACGCCTGGAGGCCAGGATGGGGGGGGGGAGCTCCTGAAGTGTATGAGCAGAGGGGTCTGTGTGTGTGACAGAACTGTGCATGGCCATCGGCTGTCTACAGAGACTGAGAAGTCGGAGTTGGTATCCTAGTGTGTGGATGTTTTTTGTTGATGGGAGAGTTTTAAATAAATCCTGAATCGAGTCACATTTGAGCAATTATGCTCTTTGCCGAAATGAGCCCTAACTCTACAGGCCGCAATAATTACACAGCACCAAACTCAGGGTAAGTGGTTGCGTGCCAGTGATTTAATTGGAATATTGGTTTATTTTGTAGCAGCGACACCTTTTAAAGGTGTCAGAGCCCTGGACTCTTCCTCTCCCTGGGGAGAGGCAGAGGGTCAGCAGTTCTTCCGAGACACCAGAGTTCTCTTTGCTAAAATCTTGTTTCTGAATACGGTCAGCCAGAGTGTTCAGACTGAGGCTGGGCCATCCTGCGGCCCATCCTAGGCCTGCGGTGGCTAATAGTGATTGCGAGAGTACACACCATCTCTGTGAAGGGGCTCCCAGTAGCTATCCAGATATCTCAAGGGAGACATGAAGCGGAGCCCAGACTGATCTTTAAGGTCTACTGTTTAGAATCGGGTTCCCAGTGCCATGGGGCAAGTGTGGTTGCCGCCTGCTGAGTGCCAGGTGACTGTCAGCTCCACCCCTGTTGCCCTGCAACTAGTGCTAGCGGGGCGGTAAGGACCCTCCCAAAGATCCTGCAGGACAGTGTAGTTGCAGCTTCTTGGACAGCAGTGGCCTCCAGGAGGACAGAGCTAGAGGATGGAAGAGCGGCAGCAGCAGGAAGGTGGGCAGTGGATCGAAACGTGGCCCTGTGAGGAGGTGTTTGTGTTGCTGGACACTCAGAGAGTGACACCTGGCTCTCAAGTCGCTGCTGTCTGGAATGCTGTTGTCCCCCACACATAAAGCTGTTTAATTTTGAAACAATTACAATTGAAAAATATTAGAAATTCTGTTTCTTAAGTCCATTAGCCCCATTTTCAAGTACTCAGCTGTCACACCTCGGTCAATGTGAGTTTAGATCTTTTCCATCCACACAGGAAGTTCTTTTGGCCAGCACCTGTCAGTGGGTAGCTGGTGTTTTTGAAACCTTTAGGTCTGTCTCACTGTTCCATTTGATCATGGAGAACTTTGTGATGTTCAACCATATGAAACTGCTCATTCTGTAAGTAAAAAACGGCTGGCTGGCGACAGTTCATCCCCTTCAGCTCAGCAGGGTGTTCCCTTTGGAAGGCATGGGTGCCCGCTCCCGGTATGCATGGTAAGCTGCACACCTGGAGAAAAGAGGGGAGCAGGGGGAAGGCACAGACGGGCTCCATCCCACAGAGATGTTTACCCAAACCAGCAGCGTCAAAGTGGTCCAGTGTACCACACATGGAAAATAAATAGGTGTTAGGTAGAAAGCATATGGCCTGCAAGGAAAGTAAATATTTAATTCTACATCAGCGCGCTGGGCGAGGAAAGCCACTTTAGCATTTCAGAAAATTAACTCGGGACTTCCTAGAAGGGTGTTTTCTTAGGCAGACAGATGCTGAATGAACCTCCCTAAATGGGCATTTTGCTCCCACTCCCCCTCACTTAAAGATCGACGTCTCCACTGCCTTACTTTTATTTTTTATTTTTTTAAAAGATTTATTTATTTATTTGGAAGGCAGAGTTAGAGAGGTAGAGAGAGAGAGAGAGAGGTCTTCCATCCACTTGTTCATTCCCCAGATGGCCGCAACAGCCAGAACTGCGCTGATCCAAAGCCAGGAGCTTCCTCCTGGTCTCCCACGTGGGTGCAGGGGCCCCAAGGACTTTGGCCATCCTCTACTGCTTTCCCAGGCCATAGCAGAGAGCTAGATCGGAAGTGGAACAGCTGGGATTCAAACCAGCGCCCATATGGGATGCCGGCACTGCAGGCAGTGGCTCTACCCACTATGCCACAGCGCCAGCCCCTGTCTTCCCTTTGAAGAACATGCATCTCCCCACTCATCCAACCACAGGCAGCAACTTTGATTTAGAAAGAACATTTTGCAGTTTGTAAGTTATTATGGCAGAACTAGAATACCTGCTTAGTCCTCATAGCTCACACGTTCGGACATTACTGGAGTCTTCCGAACTGGCCGGTGCAAATCGTTGCCAGGCCAGGGAGTGCCTACAGGGCTCTGTTAACGCTCCTTATAACTTGGAAAGGATCCCTGGAGGAATTTGGGAATTCTTGGTTGTGCCAGTGGGCTTATTTTCGTGCTCTGCATCTAAAGACCTAAAACCGCAGTTTAAACAAAGAACCTCAAATGATGAGCAGTGAGTTAATCTCTCGTTGGCTGGAGAGGGGATCCACTGAGATTGTGCCGGAAGATAACCAGCTATTTATAGTGATTATGAGTATCAGCTGCTGACTCAAAAGTTGGACGAGAAAACTGTCTTGAACCCAAACTTTTGCCTCTGTGCCCTAACCCTGGGCAGAGTATAAACAGACAAGGTCAGTGTTGGCCATCTGGACTCAGAGGCCAAGCTGGTGTCCTGTGTGGACAGAACTGGGCCTGCCTAGGACATTTTTTGTTGTTGTTTTGCCAAGTCCATATTATATATTAAGCAGTTGAACCACCTTTTAGAAAATGGAGAATTTCTTTCATTAAGACTGAGATTTGGGGGCTCTCCTGGGGAAAAGCAAGAATTTCTGGATGCTCCGCGTCAGGCTTCTCAGGTGGTGACTGTGGTTGGGCAGAGAGACAGAAGAGAGCCTGCTGTCTCTCCCCCGCGCCCTACCCTGATGGATGGGATGTGCTCTGGGGTTGGCAGTCCCTGTGGGGGGGATTTGGAGGCATCTGGTATGACCTGGTGGGTCACCAACATCTTGCGCAGAGTCCCGGACCAGGGGGTAGGGGTGGGGTGGGGCAGGCAGTGAGACAGGCACTGGTGGAAGTCCTCATCCTAGAAGTGAGCGGTGTGTGTGGCCTTGGGGTGACGTCTTCTTAGGCTTCAGTATCCATCCACATGTAAAATGGAAGGCAACCAGATGGCCCCATCTTTGAGCCCACACACCTCAATTCCGCTTGAAGCCTCATCCTGTGAGCCCTGACTCTCAGCTCCACCTTCCACAGAGAGCCAGAGCCTGGCCCTTC